TCCTTGTTCCGCAATCTCTTGATCTTTCGATCGACGATCTGAAGTGGTTGATCGCGGATTCTGACATCACTGGTAAGCTCAATCTCCTGTGGCTGCAATATATGCGAAGGATCCGCGATGTACTTCCGCAACATAGATACATGGAATACATCGTGGATGCGACCGAGCTCTGGAGGTAGGTCCAACCGGTACGCTACAGCCCCGACCTTCGCAATCACAGGGTACGGCCCAATGTAACGCGGCTTGAGTTTCCCCGTCTTTCCAAATCGCGTATACCCTCTAATCGCCTGTACTCGGAGAAATACAAGATCGCCCACCTCAACTGTAAAGTCTCTTCTTCTCCGGTCCGCATAAGACTTCTGGCGATCCTGTGCGACCTTCAGATTGACCTTGATCTTGCGGATAACCTCTGTCGTTTCTTCCACAATCTCAGGTCCAAAGATGCGTCGCTCTCCGATCTCCGTCCAACACAAAGGCGTCTTACAAGACCGTCCGTATAAGGCCTCGTAAGGTGGCATACCTATGCTGGCGTGGTAGCTGTTGTTGTACGCAAATTCGCACAACGTCAGGTACCTATCCCAAGGAACTCCCCATTCCAGAATACACGCTCTCAACATGTCCTCGAGCGTCTGAATGGTTCGCTCCGATTGCCCGTCTGTCTGAGGATGATAAGCAGTACTCATCCTCAGCTGAGTTCCCATCGCGCTCTGTAGGGCACCCCATAGTCGCGCGGTAAACCGGGGATCACGATCTGAAACGATCTCACTCGGAACTCCATGCAAGCGGACAATCTCATCAATATAAATATGTGCCAGCTTCTCCACTGTATACTCCTGTCGAATCGGAATGAAATGTGCGGACTTCGTCAATCGATCGACGACCACCCAAATAGCATTCTTCTTCGCTGGGGTCGTCGGTAATCCAACCACAAAATCCATCGCAATCGAGTCCCACTTCCATTCTGGAATCTCCAATGGCTGTAACTTCCCACTGGGCATCTGTCGCTCCGCTTTCACCTGCTGACAGATCAAGCAATGGGCTACAAACTCTGCAACGTCCCTCTTGATCCCTGGCCATGTGTACCACTGTCTCAAACCCTGGTACATCTTGCTGGCTCCCGGATGTATGGCCAATCGAGACTGATGTGCCTCTCGCAAGATGTCCTGTCTCAGCTCAAGGTCTGCTGGTACACAAAGTCGCTGATGGAGCCTCAATGCATGCTCCTCATCTATCTGATATCCCTTCTCACCATATCTGCTAATTTCCTCAATAATCTTCTGCAAATCCGGATCATGACTCTGTCCCTCTATCACACGTCTCCTCAAACTCAAATCATGATCCTCCTCGATTTCCATATGTCCTAACATAGCCGATAACTCAACTATGTTCTCCTGCGAAGATGAGAGTATCTGAATAGCTGATAGAATCTTCTTCCGACTTAAGGCATCTGCGACTACATTCGCCTTGCCCGGATGATATGCGATTTCCAAGTCATAATCAGCTATCAACTCAATCCATCTACGCTGTCGAAGATTCAGATCCTTCTGCGATATCACATAGGTTAAGCTCTTGTGATCAGTGTTGAGCTTAACCTTCTCTCCATATAGATAGGATCTCCAAATCTTCAACGCATGTACCACTGCTGCCAGCTCCAAATCGTGCGTCGGATAATTCTCCTCATGTTTCCTCAGCTGTCGGGATGCGTATGCAATCACATGTCCTTCCTGCATCAATACGCAACCCAAGCCTTGCTTCGACGCATCGGTATACACCTCATACGGTATACCTGGCTGTGGTAATGCCAAGATAGGTGCGGTCGTGAGTCGTTTCTTGAGCTCCACAAAGCTCACTTCGCACTCCGGTGTCCAATCAAACCGCACATTCTTCCCTGTTAACTTTGTCATTGGTTTTGCTAACTTGGCAAAACCCTCGACAAATCTCCTGTAGTACCCGGCCAATCCCAAGAAACTGTGGATCTCTGTGGCATTGGTAGGCGTCTTCCACTCCATCACAGCCTCAATCTTTGCCTGATCCACTTGTACGCCCTGAGCCGAAATCACATGGCCCAGAAATCCAACTTCCTGCAACCAGAAAGCACACTTGCTGAACTTCGCATACAACTTCTGCTCCCTCAAACGCTGCAATACCAGACGCAAGTGTTGCTCATGGCTGCATCGATCCGGTGAGTAGATCAATATGTCATCAATGAAGATGATGACAAACTCGTCGAGGTAATCCATGAATACACGGTTCATCAACTGCATAAATACTGCAGGAGCGTTCGTCAGTCCAAAAGGCATAACGACGAACTCAAAATGTCCATACCGTGTACGGAAAGCCGTTTTCTGCACATCCCCGGCCTTCACACCAATCTGATGATATCCCGAGCGCAAATCTATCTTCGAGAACCACTGTGCACCCTGCAACTGATCAAGTAACTCATCAATCCTCGGCAGTGGATACCGATTCTTAATGGTTACCTGATTAAGTCCTCGATAGTCAATGCACAATCGCATGCTACCGTCCTTCTTCTTGACGAATAGCACGGGCGCTCCCCAAGGCGAAACACTCGGCTGAATGAATCCCTTCTCCATCAACTCATTCAACTGCTTCTTCAATTCTGCCATCTCTGTTGGAGCCATCCGGTACGGAGTCTTAGATACCGGTTCCGTACCTGGAATCACATCAATGCAAAAGTCCACCTCTCTCTCCGGTGGTAGCCCTGGCAATTCCTCCGGAAAGACGTCAGGAAAATCACGAACTACAGGTGTCTCACCCAACCTCATCTCCATCTCCTGGGTAGCTGTCACTACCACGAGGAATGCCTCATCTCCCTTCCGAATCATTCGGCTGGCCCGAAATGCTGATATGATCGG